CCCCTCTGCCATGTACATTGGCTAAACCAGACAGTCTCTCCGCAAAAGAATAAATGGACACAAATCTGACATCAGGAATCATAATACTCAAAAACCAGTGGGAGAACACTTTAACCTGTCTGGTCACTCAATAACAGACCTGAGGGTGGCAATATTGCAACAGAAAAGCTTCAAAAACAGACTCCAACGAGAAACTGCTGAACTCGAATTGATACGCAAACTAGATACAATAAATTTAGGCTAGAATAGAGACTGGGAATAGCCGAGCCATTACAAACATTGAATCTATCTCTCCATGTAAGTATTCTCACACTTCTTATCAAACTGTCTATACTGGGCTATCTTGATTATCACTTCAAAAGTTTTTTCTCTTACTTAATTGGCCTCTCAGTGTTGGTAAGACAACTCCCACCTTTTCATGTTCTCTGTATGTGTATATATATCTCCTCAATATATGTTCCATTCTATGCATCCGAAGAAGTGGGCTGTAGCCCACAAAAGCTTATGCTCAAATAAATTTGTTAGTCTCTAAGGTGCCACAAGTACTCCTGTTCTTTTTGCGGATACAGATTAACACGGCTGCTACTCTGAAACGAGAAGGAAGGGTCACCCAATAAAAATAAGCAGCAGGTTTAAAACAAACAAAAGGAAGTATTCGCACAACGCATAGTCAACCTGTGGAACTCATTGTCAGATGTTGTGAAGGCCAAAACTATAACAGAGTTCAAAAAATAACTAGATAAGTTCATGGAAGATGGGTCCATCAATGGCTATTAGCCAAGATGGTCAGGGACGCAATGCCATGCTCTGGGTGTCCCTAGCCTCTGAGTGCCAGAAGCTGGGAAAGGACAACAGGGATGGATCACTCAATGATTGCATGTTCTGTTCATTCCCTCTGAAGCATCTGGCACAACCACTGTTGGAAGACAGGGTACGGGGCTAGATGGGCCTTTGGTATGACCCAGTATGGCTGTTCTCACGTTCACCAGGACTTTCTTAATGCTGACACTAAAAAATACTATAAATGACTAGCGGTCGAAGGGGTTACATTGGCAGAGGTTATATCCTTTGCATGAGGCAGGTCCTTTCTGCCCACTTCTCATGGCACTACTGATGAAATCTCAGCATTCTGTCAGTTCTTGAAAAGTGTAGGTGATTTCTCTTATTTCTTCAACACGTGCTGTCTGTCCGTTAAACGAATCCTACTGTCCAATTCCTCAGATAAATTTATTCCTGAGTGCATAATGCCAGTCACATTGGTGAATACGCTCCCAGTTTTCTAACTCAATGTTTTGCAGCACTTTGGGATAATTTTGGTATGAAAGATGTAACTTTATATAAAACGATGCTATGTTCTGTTGGTCTAAAGTGGTTATTACTATATGGCTACGTACTCGCTACGGGGGGGGGAGGGCGATTTAAGATACTCAAATTCAGCTACATATCGGAGCCGACTTACTCCGCTGTGAGGAAGGCGGCAAATCGACCTCCGCGGCTCCCCTGTCGACGGCGCTTACTCCTACCTCCGCTGGTGGAGTACAAGCGTCGATTTGGGGATCGATTGTCGCGTCCCGACGAGACGCGATAATTCGATCTCTGAGAGATCGATTTCTACCCGCCGATTCAGGCGGGTAGTGTAGACGTAGCCTATGTGTGAATTAGTGTTTTAAAAGGGAAAAGGATTTTAATGTGTGTTTGTTGACTGTTCATGTTCTTCAGTATCACTGATGCAGTAGACTCTAGAGCATATAGCAGGCTCTCAGCAATCTGAGACCTAAAACATCATTATTTCTTGAAATAACCAATTATAACCCTGATCCTGCAAATGCTAATAGTCCCAAGGTCTGGGAATTACAGGAGTTTCTAGTCACTGTGGTATGTAATATAAGGTATATTTTACAAATTGCAATACACTTACTCATGGATAACATAAATGACAGCCTTAACTTTGGATTTCCATACTTTTGTTTTTTTGTAAAACTGGTATCATCATTATGTTAATATTAATTTAATAGTATCAGGGAGTCAGTAGAAGCTGGCCCATAAATAATGTGTTTTACTGGTGATACAGAACTGGTCTTAAGAAGTGAACAGCTGCTGCTGTGGGATATATTTTCAGACTAGAACAGTGTGGTCTATTGAAGACAAGTGCATGAAAATGGCAACAAAGAGAATTTTGGCCCTCATGTATCCAGATAGTCAAAGCAATAGCATAGAAAGTAAATGGTGTTTAAGATTACAGCTCTTAAAAATTGTTCTAAAATCTGCACCTAAAAATAATTCAGTGCTATGCTATATTAAACCACAAGAAAACTCCTCTTATGTTGAATTTTTTGCAGAAATTCATGAATAACAACTGAGTCTTTCTCTGATTCTCTAGTGAAACAGCAAGTACTATAAGTTGCTGTTTTTACTGTTGCATTGATGAGTGGGTGTCACTTTAGACTATATTGTGTCTCCCATTGAAGAACAATGAATAGAATGAGTGTTGATTATTAGGCAGTACTATGAAACAATACATTGAAAAATATCCTTGTCTCATTGGATTTTTCCCTCCAGTCAAACTGAATTATCATTTTACTATATTTTTCTCTTCTGCTTGTCAGTTCTATGATAAAACTGTAAATGACATTATTCAAAACAAACCCATCTTTCACTCTATATAGGTACAATAAAGAGCTACCATATTTGTTAGATCTACCCTGATTGGTGGGTTAATTTTTATAGCCATATATATTATACTGGAAGTCCCAGGGACTATGTAATAATTTTTGTCACACAGTTAGCATCTTTTTCATCAGCCCTTGTGCTGTCATAATGAAACACATCAGAGGGTGACTGTAACGGGATTCACCCACCACTCTGGCGCCTTCTTCTGGCTATCTTGGAGATTACCTCTGCATGTTAGTGTGCCCGCTTCAGGCGGTGCCTTGCCACCGTCACTCGTGCTCTAGGACCCACATCTCTCCAAGGTCTTCGGCATCCTCTTCAGCAACACAGCCCTCCAGCCATGCCACACACTGTGCTCTCCCCTTCCAGGGGACCTGCAGTCCACAGTTCAGCCACTTCCCTTCCCCACTACTGCAGCAAATTGTCTGGCCACTTCCTCATGGCCCCAGCATCCTCTTTGCCCTTGCCTCAGGGCCTCAACCTGCAAACCTCAGCAGCCAGCCAAGAGCTGTTTCTCACTCTGCTGGTCCCTGCTAGGTGCACTGCTCTGTCCAGGGTGCTGGCAGTTCTCTCAGCCCTCCAGAGATAGTCCTTCCTCCCAGAGATCCCAGCAGAAAACTGCCTTGCAGCTCCCTTTTTATATGGGCCTGCTTGGCTGCTCCCTGCAGCCCTTCTCTGATTGGCTATCTCCTGTGCAGCCTCCCTAGGGCTCTATTAACCCCTTAGAGCCCAGTGCGGGGCAGGCACCCCATCACAGTGGCTCTCATTCTGATTGCCACACTCATCACAACAGTGCTGCTGAAATAAATACTGCAGAAGACATATGTCAAGTGTTCCCCTCCTCAATAAATCAGATTCTCAACCTTGCTCAAGGTATATGGAAGCTTGTTCTGCCTTATCACTAAAATCAGTGACACAGCTTGCAGTCATTGATCTTACAGAAAGTACACAGCCATGCACCTCTGTGTACTGTATCTAAGACAAAAAACAGTATATGTCAGGTTGAGCTTTTAAAAATCAATAAAATAATCAAACCTATCGGTCAAATGTGTCTTTGGTGTAACTCTGTAAGAGAGAAATGTTGTTGGTCGTAAATGCTGTGTATAGTTAGAAAATACTGGCAGGAGAACTACTGGGGGTTCTTAAATGAAGAATTTTTGTAAGTGTTCGGTGATATAAATCTTTTAAATTTTTTGTACATAGTTTACTAGTTTATATTCAAGTAACAATATATGACCTGAGTGCAATCTATTTGTTGTGTTGGACTTTGAAAATTAATTCAATTTTTAAAGCACAAAAAGCTAAATGATTACAATTATTTATTTTATTTAATTTTCTTATTTAACTGTGTTTTCATATTTTGTTTCATTCAGTAATGTTAGTTTATGGTTTTCCGGAATGTCACAGAACATGAAACCATGAATCAGGCACCAGAAATTCTGTCATTGCTGCTATCCATTTAAAGAAAAAGGCATTTATATATTAATGTACCATTGTTTAAAAAGCTTCCAAAGAGGTTTAAACAAACTCTTTAAACAAATATATTTTTCTCTAATAAAGAGTTGAATTGATGTTAGAAAAGAAGATTTAGTCTCCAGATTTTTCCGAGGTTCCTGGCACCAACAAAGCCCATTGAATTCACTATGAGCTGCAGGTCCTCAGCACTTTTGAAAAATCAGGCTATTAATTGTCACGAGCAATATGCACATACCGTACTGGGCTTTATGAATTAAAGATCAATAAAGTCTTGCAGTGAAGTTTCTGTGTGGACCACAGAGCAGTTCTATACTCAGAAAACAAAAGAGGACAAATCAGCAGATTGCTACATGGATACTTTGCAGCCTTCAGATTCTAACACCAAACGCCCTAGCTAGACTGTGCAGAACAGATCTTAGTGGGACATTGCAAATGGATGGCACATCATTTTTAGAAGAATGGCTTAAACTAAATATAAATATAGGAAAGCATCCCCAAAAGGTGTTACAAATGATTTGGTTAGCTCTGATTTTTTAAAATTCATCATCCTATAGAGTTCTAATACTTTCCCTTGCAGACTTTATTAGTAGTTATGATTTTACTTCCACAACAAACTGGTATTTTAAAATCCTCTTTTTTTTTATGTTAACTAGGAACCACAGGTAAAGTACAGATGTATAGACCTAGCTTTAACCATCAGAAATCTGCAATTTTGATTCTGCAGAGAGCATTGCAGCTTATCTGACATGTCCGAATTTGATTATTTCTGATTCATTTTTTTATGAAGCATTTACCTACATTGCATGCTCATCTATATCCATGAGTCTGAGCAGTATCTCCTGGTTTCTTTCTAGGATTGTGGAAAAAGGATATTACAGTGAGCGAGATGCTGCCAATGCTGTTAAACAAATCCTGGAGGCAGTTGCTGTAAGTATTAACTAGGATCATAGGCTCAGCACATAATAATCTTTCATTTATTTGGAATAATTGCTTAATAAGTATGCAGGTGCAAAAGAAGCAGCTGTTCCTTGTAACTAGTCTATACATTCATTTCTATAACTGTTCTATCAATCCCTCAAAAGTAGTGACATCTCAGAGGCAAAAGTGATCTTGAGTGACACCAATATATGCTATAATTCATCTGTTATAGTTGAATTAATGTTCTTTATCACTACCCATTTTCAAAAACCTGCAAAGTTCAGTATAGGTCCTTTAGGACAGAAAATGGTTTGAGATTTCTGGCCCTTCTGTAGTCTTCCATTCAAATTTTTGTGAAGTACATCACTATCATTTATTTAGGATTCCTTTTTATACAGAAGAGAATGCAGTACCTTGCCATCCAACATTGAGAGATTAATGGAATGAATGAATTAGTAAGATTGCATGGTGTGTTAGAGAAACTTGAGTGGGAGTTTCCTGCAGAGTGTAGCCATGAATAAAGAGGTTTTGCTTCATTTGCAGTCACTGTCTGACAAATCATAGAATCCTAGAATATCAGGGTTGGAAGGGACCTCAGGAGGTCAACAAGTCCAACCCCCTGCTCAAAGCAGGACCAATCCCCAACTAAGTCATCCCAGCCAGGGCTTTGTCAAGCCTGACCTTAAAAACCTCTAAGGAAGGAGATTCCACCACCTCCCTAGGTAACCCATTCGAGTGCTTCACCACCCTCCTAGTGAAAACGTTTTTTCTAGTATCCAACCTAAACCTCCCCCACTGCAACTTGAGACCATTACTCCTTGTTCTGTCATCTGGTACCACTGAGAACAGTCTAGATCCATCCTCTCTGGAACCCCCTTTCAGGTAGTTGAAAGCAGCTATAAAATCCCCCCTCATTCTTCTCTTCTGCAGACTAAATAATCCCAGTTCCTTCAGCCTCTCCTCATAAGTCATGTGCTCCAGCCCCCTAATCATTTTTGTTGCCCTCCACTGGACTCTTTCCAATTTTCCCACATCCTGGACACAGTACTCCAGATGAGGCCTCACCAATGTCGAATAGAGGGGAACGATCACATCCCTCGATTTGCTGGCAATGTCCCTACTTATACAGCCCAAAATGCTGTTGACTCCTATCCAGCTTCTCGTCCACTGTAACCCCTAGGTCCTTTTCTGCAAAACTGCTGCCTAACCATTCGGTCCCTAGTCTGTAGCAGTTCATGGGATTCTTCCGTTCTAAGTGCAGGAGTCTGCACTTGTCCTTGTTGAACCTCATCAGATTTCTTTTGGCCCAATACTCTAATTTGTCTAGGTCCCTTTGTATCCTATCCCTACCCTCCAGCGTATCTACCACTCCTCCGAGTTTAGTGTCATCTGCAAACTTGCTGAGGGTGCAGTCCACACCATCCTCCAGATCATTAATGAAGACATTGAACAAAACCGACCCCAGGACCGACCCTTGGGGCACTCCACTTGATACCAGCTGCCAACTAGACATGGAGCCATTGATCACTATGATCACTACTCGTTGAGCCCGACGATCTAGCCAGCTTTCTATCCACCTTATAGTCCATTCATCCAGCCCATACTTCTTTAACTTGCCGGCAAGAATACTGTGGGAGACGGTATCAAAAGCTTTGCTAAAGTCAAGGAATAGCACGCTCACTGCTTTCCCCTCATCCACAGAGCCAGTTATCTTGTCATAGAAGGCAATTAGGTTAGTCAGGCATGACTTGCCCTTGGTGAATCCATGCTGACTGATCCTGATCACTTTCCTCTCCTCTAAGTGTTTCAGAATTGATTCCTTGAGGACCTGCTCCATGATTTTTCCAGGGACTGAGGTGAGGCTGACTAGCCTGTAGTTCCCTGGATGATCCTCCTTCCCTTTTTTAAAGATGGGCACTACATTAGCCTTTTTCCAGTCATCCAGGACCTCCCCCGATCGCCATGAGTTTTCAAAGATAATGGCCAAAGGCTCTGCAATCACATCCGCCAGCTCCTTTAGCACCCTCGGATGCAGCGCATCCGGTCCCATGGACTTGTGCTCGTCCCGTTTTTCTAAATAGTCCCGAACCACTTCTTTCTCCACAGACAGGGCCGGCTCTAGGCACCAGCAAAACAAGCTGGTGCTTGGGGCGGCACATTTTTAGGGGCAGCATGTCCAGCGCCAGAATGCCGCCCCTAAGAATGTGCCCCGGCTGCCCTAGCTCACCTCCGCTGCTGCCGCTTGCGTGCCACGGTGCGCGAAACAGCTGATTTGCGCACCACTGCTTGCCCTCCCTCCCAGGCTCTCAAACCTGGGAGGGAGGGGGAGATCCCGAGAGGCCGCGGCACGCGAAACAGCTGATTCGCGCACCGCTTCTCCCCCACCCTCCTAGGCTTGAGAGCCTGGGGGGAGGAGGCAGGGCTGGGGATTTGGGAAAGGGGCGGAGCTGAGGCGGGGCCGGGGGTGGGGTAAGAAAAAAAATGGGGGGGTGGCCAAAATTGTTTCTGCTTGGGGCAGCAAAAATCCTAGAGCCGGCCCTGTCCACAGAGGGCTGGTCACCACCTCCCCATGCTGTGCTGCCCAGTGCAGCAGTCTGGGAGCTGATCTTGTTCATGAAGCCAGAGGCAAAAAAAAGCATTGAGTACATTAGCTTTTTCCACATCCTCTGTCACTAGGTTGCCTCCTTCATTCAGTAAGGGGCCCATACTTTCCTTGACTTTCTTCTTAGAATCATAGATTATTAGGGTTGGAAAGAACCTCAGGAGATCATCTAGTCCAACCCCCTGCTCAAAGCAGGATCAATCCCCAACTAAATCCCCAAATGACCCCTCAAGGATTGAACTCACAACCCTGGGTTTAGCAGGCCAACGCTCAAACCACTGAGCTATCCCTCCCCCCCCTTCTTGTTGCTAAATGTTCCTTCATGTATGCTGACATGTATGTAGAGGTCTCTAAACAATCACATACAACCTTAGGGGACTGGTCAACAGAGAACATACAAGCAAAATGAATTATGGGGAGACAAGTAGTTTAGTTTGCAACAGAATGTCTGATTAAAGCTAAATTCTCAACCCTCTCAAAAATAAACATGCAGGGTGACCCCAGATGGGCACCTAGGGGCCCAAGGTAAAGTTTGTGGTGCAAATTTAGTCATTTGGTCAAGGAGTTCCCAAAGAGACAGCCCTCTTCCCCATATTGTATACTCCTAAAATTTCAATGGTCTTATAATGGTTTCTTGTGCAGAAACATGGGGAAAAAACTATGGGCAATAACCACATGAAACTTCCTCGGCTCCCTGGACTGTCCCTGCTGAGATCTAGTGTCCAGTACCAGAACAAGGCTCTGAGTCAAATTAATAAGTTGCTAGACTTTATTTCTGGTTCCATGGAGTAGTGTAGCAATAGTGAGACCACTGCAGTCCTGCATGGACCAATACCACTGTACACAGTCTTCCCGCTAGTGTGGGGTGAGAAAGGGAGACTGAGTTCCCCACAAACATTGTGTAGTTTAGGGAAAGCTGTCCTGGACTAGGGGCCAAGAGACCAGTTCAAGTTTTGTCTTCTAATCACTGCTGTTAATTTCTGTGCCGTTCATAACTCACATATCCCCCTATCAGCAAGAACAGGGTGCTTAGCAGCTCCAAGAAAGCCAGCCCAGGCCCCTGCAAAGAGATTTCTGAACCAAGCCCCTTTCATTACACTCACTTTTTTCTAATGGTGAAGTTAACATGCAAAAACATGTTTTATGTGGAATAACATTCCAGACACTCCGCAATGCCCTGTGCACGTTGTGTTCTTCTAGAAATGATATGTCAATACCAAAAGCTCAGATATTCTGCAACCAGAAAATATAACATTAAGGTTCCACTTACAAGATCATTAGTGTTATAAGAAAAAACAAAACACCAACTTTAGAAAACCAGGCAATACAGAGTTAGTGACAGTTCCTATGCACCACGATCACACAACTTTAACGCTGCCTCCTTTCATTCCTGCCCTAAGGAGGAGCTCAGCAGCACCTTACTCCTTCTTAAGTGTTTTTCTTGTGTAGTGTGATCTCTGCCAACCGTTTGCAACTACTTCCCAGATCAGTGGTGCAGCATAGACCACTGTGATGGCCCATGGAAGTGCATTGATAGGAATGATGATTTCGGGTTGTGATGGATATACAGAAATTGATGGGACAGATAAATTACTGTGCTGTTTCCTGTTGCCAGCCCCACGAGGGGCAGTTACGTTGACACTTCCTACTTACCACAACCTTAACAGTATTGACTGGTTTTCTTACATTCATATTTTGCTTGTTATAGTACACTGATGCTTTTAAGGGGGCTTAGAACTCATCATTTCCTAGTTTTCCAATATCTGAGTTTTTGAAATATTCCCCTCACATTCTAGAAGGTTACAAGGTATGTAAAGGGCACTATGAAGTGCCTGGAACCTTAACTCCACCTTAACAAAGATTTTATTTCCTCTGTGTTAATAGAGTTTAGCTGAGACAAGGCAATTCACAGGTATAGATTTCATAATGGTTTCATAGAAATTGAGGGGCTCTGAGGATTTCCTCATTTTTATTGCATTAAAATTGTCATGGAGCTTTGTTGAAACACACTTTTACTGTATAATAACTTCAGATCTTCTGCCTCCTATTAAAGATTCTTAACCACATTGGGAAGGTGTTGTATTTATCCCATAAGCAATGAGCTAACCACCCTTTTGCTTGGTAGATATCCAGGGCTTCAGGCTCCATATGAAAAATTTCACTTGTTCTCTTGGATTAACACACAGGTGTCTGGGTAGCAGAATCAGAAGGGGAAGCAGAGGGAAAAAAGGGACACAGTATAAAAAATGTCGTGGTCATCTAAGTTTCACAAGAATTGACAAGTTCTGCTAAAACTAGATTTTGCCACCCATATTCAGTGAAACTTTTCACTGAGGGTGAAATCTTGCCCCCTTTTTGAAGTCAGTAGGAGTTTTGCCATTGATGTCAGTGGGGCCAGGATTTTCCT